ATATATTGCAGATGGAAATTTAAAAGTTTTAAAAAGTAAATGGATATATAAAATAAATACGTAATCCCTGTTTATAGCTATGAGTAACACGTACCATAGGTTTAACTAAATTATTTGAATGTAAACGTACATTCAACGAGTCAATTTTTCTTCTCAGTGGATCTTCTTTTTCTCTAAATGCCAGCTCAGCATCCCCTCCAAAAATTGTACTGTAATCACTTATGAAGAGACCTATCAACTGGTTAGTAATCAGCTGGTTTTTACAGGTATCCTCTTCATCAGCAAGTCTGTAAACATCAAAAGTTTCTTTTCCAAAAGATAATGACTTTCATTTTTCAATATCTAAATTTTTCTTGGTTGAAAAGTATTCAATAATTCAAATTTCACTCTAATCAACCCTGACCCTTACTCATACAATAAAAAAAAAAATTTATATACGGTCGCAATTTAGGCCATACTACCTTCCACTGGTCCACGTTTTTTTTCTTTTTCTTAGTGATTTTAGTAAACTCTTTGCACTTTCAAATCATGAATTTCCAGTTGTATGTATTTATTAGTTGTCTTACATTAAAAAAAATTATGTAGGCAGTTTCAACTAAGTTATTTAATGTGTTTCATGTTGTCAACTCGGTTCTGTTTATACTCTCATGCTTTACTTCAACTTCCTGCAACAGATATGACAAAAGACAGGAAGACATGTCTGTAAAATTTTACAAGTCAGTGCAAACTAACTGAAATTACTTGCTGGAATGCATAATGTAGGTTGACAGTCAATTTTCACAGAGTTTAAAAAAATATTGTGCTACTGGAAAGGTTCCGCTTTAAAGATTGAAACAATTCCATCTTTTCCTCAGTGTTTTAATTAGAAATTACTAAATGTGCTAAACAAAAGATCCAGAGAATCATATGCAACTAGTTAGCTATGCAAGAACAATAATGCCTACATCAAATGTACAAGAGTTTAGGAAACTGTACTATTATCATAGGACTCATAGTTAGTGAAGTCGTGATTTTTGTTCCCTTCTTTCTAGGATATCAAATACTTTAAAAACAAGTTATGCCTAAGAGGATTAGTGTCAATGGAGACATTAAATTTGAAAAGATTTTTTTTTCTAATCTCCAGTGGTTTTAAACTGAGAACAAGAGTGTAAGTTGAATTTTTATGTTTACCCCTACCCGTAGCCTTTTAAGTAACATCCATTCTTTAAATGGTCCTAATTATGAAAACAATTTAAATCTACAAGTTAGACAATTTTTGCCAGTAACTTTCCTTACCACAAAAAATTACATTTTAATTCCTTCATACTTTTGACCCACCTGAATATCTCTGGTCCCAGAACAAAGCACATTAATGCACTCAGTTTATTTTCATTATGCTGTTGATTTGCACGTACGATAAAACTGGAGATAAACTTCAGTGTGTTGAAATTCTCAAAAGGCAGCTCTTCTACAACATATTTCAACTTCAGAACACAACCCTCCTTGTCTCTTTTGATATCTAATTTTCGTTTAAAAAAACAAAATAAAACATGGTTGACAATAGTAAGAAAGGCAAACAGAACTATGCTACAAGTGTATTTATATATATTAAAACATGAGTAATTCTTTTAACATCAGAATCAAAGAGAAAAAAAATAGACAATTAGTCAAAATAAAAACTAATTTGTTTTTTTACCATTTTCTTTATGAACTTTATTTAGAAATATTGACATACATGAAACAAGCATCAATATTTCCATTGAAATTAAACCTACTGAGGATCAATTCACTCACTGGCATTACCAGCATTTACATTACCTTGAACTGCACGAATACAAGCAGCAAAAAGCCCCTTTGGAACAACAGGATCTGGAAGTTCTCTGAAAAACATCTTCAACAACATCGTAGCACTAACCACATCACACTTTGTTTCAAGGGGAGCATCTCCTGTCTCATCAAAGGATGTCCTCAGGCATTCTACAAGCTGGGCATTTCCCAACGTCGGATGTAGATCTACATCGTCCAAACCTGTTATTGTTAATTTTATAAAACTCAGAAATTTGAGCCTACTGGTGGAACTTTTCTTGAAGTTACACAAAAGCATTTTTAACAATAAATTAATGCAGTCTAACACCAAAAATGTAGTGACTGCTGCATAAAATATTTGCATAACAACCACATCATGGGTGGTTTGAGCACCTAACTGAAATATTTAAGACATACAAGACTCATGTTTCCATAATTTAGCTCAGCAATACTAATGTAATATGAAGTATAGAAACCTAAAGCTAAAAAGTTACGAGTTTTAACTTTTGATCACAATATCTAAAAATCGTTACGTATATTTGAAACTGTTTAATGGTGATGCACAAGGTGCTTGCATAGCCTGATATTTTTCATTTTAAACAAAAATGTTCATTACCAACTAATTTCCTTTTCATTATAGATTCTTTAAATATAAATATATAGGTAAAAGCATGCAGGAATGAATTCAAAATTTACCTTTTTCTTCAATAAAATAACAAATTCTTATCAAAACAAAAGGAATGGAGCATTCTACCAGCGTTTTCTCAACTAATTTAGTCAGTGGAATTCCAAAAGTCTTTTGTCGAATGGCTGAGATGTCAGTAGTGAAGGATGAAACAGTTAAATCTGGCACGTCATCCAGTTTTTCTCTCTTATCACTTTCAAGATCCTAAATTTAAAAATAAAAAAGAAGGTATTTACTTAGTTTTCTCTAATTCAGTAGTATGAAACTTTGTAACTCAATACAAGTGCATTTACAATAATTTTCTATTACAAACTTATCTACAAAGAAATATTCATGATGCGTTATTTTAAGTACTGTTGCAAATTAAAGACTGAACTAACTTTGGTTATCAGGCCTAGCCATTAATGTGTCATTACTTCAAATAACATTCATTATCTCTGTTCAAATGTAAAAAAAGAAATAACTAAGTTTTTCATGGAAACTTAATCTCTGATAATTTCAGCTTCTTGTGATTTTTCAGTTCCATAATATAATCTTGAGATGGTTACTGTAGACATTTTCAATTCTGTATCAACTTTTATTGAATATTTTATACTTTTTTTTTTAAATATTTGACTTTGTAAATGAACTGTTGTAAGCTATATTTACTTATATTTTAATTTAGTTGTTTGCTAGAGGAAACTGCTAACATGGTGATACATTTAGAAAGTTTATAAAAGTAGTCCTAGAATACCTAGCATGATCTTAAATTTTAATGATCGAGATACTTCACAAAATATCCATAAACAAGGATATATTACAAATAAAAAAATCAGTGAAGCATTGAGTCAAGTTTCAGTTCTTGTAGCAATTGAAAAGTTAGTGAAGTATACAGATCAGTGTGGGTTCTCATGCATATTAAGTTACTTGACTGATTATCCATGAAACTGTACAAGTAAATTTATTTTTGTTAGCTGTAATACCATTAGCGAATTAATTTCTGTTGTAAGTGAAATTATTTGTGAACTAGGGCCTACAATTTTCTACAGGTGATGGTAATTTATAGCAAACGTTAAAGAGGAAATAAAGTGATATGTAATCATTACATGGACTGGACATCAGATTCTTTTCAGATAATTTAAAAGAACCCAATGAACGACAGAAATAATAAATATTACAACATTGTTGTAGAAGTGGGATTATTTTGGTAAAAACAAATAACTCAGTTTAATTTCAACATGACAACCAGATCCAGAAATGATATTGAAGCTTTTCTAAAGATGATGAAACAATTAAATAGAGGTGTCATGAAGAAAGAGTGAAAATTAGAGGAATATAGAAAATTAAAAGACTAAGAAAAAGAAACAGAAAATTATAACACCATGAACAAAGAGACAGGACTTAAGAGAAGAGTTAAAAGGAAGAGATGGAATATTTATAGAAGAACTAAGAACAAAAATAAATGATTGAATACAAGATTGATCAAACAATTGGAGATGTACAGAAGGATTACAACAAACAAGTACTTAACAACTGTAATGACAGAACTGAAGAAATACAGAAAGAGATCACTAAGGTAGAAAAGAACATCAACAACAGAATAAAATATCTGGAAAAAGAATTGCTGAATGCAAAAAATAAACCAGCCACACCTCTTTCTACATCTGCCCAATAATTCCAACCTAAAAGATCATCTATTACAAAATATTAAAAAGGAGAATTATTTGGTCTACACCCATTACCATATACTGCTGTGCCATCTGTTACTGCAGGACCTTCCTGGACTACTCATGACATTACCAAATCCAGTTCTAGAATTTAGCTCACTAAGTTAACAGCATTGCCCAATTGAGAAACCAATGAATTATGAAGGAAAAGTACCACATGAGGCATACCAAGCACAGTTCAAGATTTCTGAAGTGAACAGATGGAATATTGAACAACAAGCTAGCTATTCATCTTATTGCCCATTTAAAAAGACCACCTTTAACAACATTAGTAACAATTGAGCTAAGAGCCATAACAATTAAAAAGCATTGGTAGCTGCATTATCCAACAGGTTTGGACTACAGGAAACATCAGAATGAAGTATCCAGAGCAAAGTTTCAGAATAAGGTACAGAGAAAAGAAGAGACATTATTCAAACTTGCAGAAGAGTTGGAAAGGCTTGACCAATTATCTTACACAGATGCTCCATGTGAAATGATGGATTTGTTGGCATGCAACTAATTTACAGATGCCATAACAGATAAGGATACGAGAATTGTGCTGCAGCAAAGTAGTGTACATCTTTAAAGGAAGCTTTGCAGTTGGTGATGGAACATAGAATTCACTTAAGTCACAGATAAACCACTGAAGACACCATCTCGATGTTATGTGATCATCAAATCAAGTAATATTAAAAGCTCAACTCCACCTGACAATAGTTTAAAAGAAGTAAATGGATTAGTTAGACAACTAGTTACACAGAACAGAGAAAATAAACCACAAAACAATAGGTGTTTCATGTGTAACCTGAAATATCATACTGCCAGGGCTAAACAGGTATTAGGAAAACAGGAATTGGCTGGACTTGTGGGAGGAGAGGGCAAAGTCAAAATCAAGGGATGATGGACCCACCTTAAAAGTTATGCCATTACAGTCAAGAGAATAGGCAAGCTCCCACAGTAAGATTTGATGGGTTTAATATTTGTAAGATTAGTTTTAAGCCATTTTGCAGACTTGCAGCTACATATACTCTACAAGACTGCATCAGTCTCTCTGAAAAACCTGCTGCCAGCATTACCAGCAGGAGGCAACAGGTTAACCCCCCAATCACACTGTGTCAGGGCTAGGGGGATGTCAGCAAAACCGCATCAGTCTCTGATGACCCGAGTGAGAATTGCCATGTCCAATATCCAAGAAGTCACCATGGTAGTGACATTTTACAATATTTAGCTACAGGGTAGGTATCTAGAGATTTTAAGTAAAGCTGCTGACAAACCTGGTAACTTTTATTGGAATTTAAAATTAAGTGTAATAAGTAGTGTGAAATTGTGAAGTAGATAAAAACAAAAAATTTGTAAATTCATATACATATGCTAAATGAATAAAGAAATACGTTTCTCATTTTCCAGAGAACAAATGCCCCCCCCCTTGCCCCTGCAGATGCCCATGCAACAAAGTTTAGCCAAGCATACTCCATCTGCCCCAAATTAGATAAGAAGATCATTATTTAAAGAAAGTAGTCCACGAGTCCACAGGTTTGTTGTTGAGAAGCCTTGCAGTATGTTGATATACACTGGTTCTCTAACTATGATAGTTTGACATGATTTGCTAAAGAAAAGTAGGAAATTCCCTTTGACAATTATGAAAGAAGATGAATTGATGCAAACAGCAAGTGAACATAAAGTTCCAACAGCAGGAAAGTTGGAAGATACCCTTACTGTAAGAAACTTCGCCACATCTAATGATGTGTGGATAATTGATATCAAGGAAGAGTTCACACTGGGAATTGACTTTATGCAAGATGACTTCCACTTGCAAGACAAGTTGTAACTTTCAAAAAAAAGATAGAAGCCATGAAGGAACAAGGAATAGCAGAATCAAGTATTAGTCCTTTGGCATCACCTATTATACTTGTGAAGAAAGATGGATCCACTAGGTTCTGCATGAACTGGAAGGTTAATGAGGTCACAAGGAAGGATGCCTAACCACTAACTGACAAGGATTGACTAATTTCAATGCTCTATCTCGATAAAAATTATTTTCAACATTAGTTCTTAAGAGCAGATATTGGCAAGCAAAAGTTAACAAAGCAAGAACAGAGATAACAGCCTTTACTACAGCAAATGGATTATGGCAATGCACCTACCACATTTAATGGAGTTTGTTCTGTTTGAACTACAGTAGAGCCTCGTACTCATTTACTTATATGACATAATTGCACATGAGAAAACTGTTGACAAATGTGTATGATAGACTAAAGAAAGTTCTGGATTGGTTAAGGAAAGAGAATCTTAAGCTGAATCCCAAGAAGTGTGAATTATTTCATCAACAGTAGAGTTTCCTGGAACATATAATGGCAAAGAGGGAGTGCCTTCAGATCCATTGAAAAACTATCTGTCTAGAATCAGCCAACACAGAAGAACCTGCATGAGATTAGGGGATTTCTTTATATTGTTTATATAAGATCATTCTCTAACATGACTCATCCTTTAAACAAGTTTCTTGAAATGCCAAATAAGTTTTATTCGACTGCTCCTTGTGAACAAACATTCAACAAACTGAAGAAAGAACAGATAATTACTCTGGCAAACAGCCACTCCATACTGCCTAAAAGACAATGTATATAACCAAAGATGTGACATCTCCAAGTGAGGATGAAGAATTAACATGGTCCAACACTCAAATGAAAGATACTTCAGCAAAAGATACAAGTTTGAAACCAATAATCAAGTGAATCAAGAATAAAGCAGGAAGATTTTCATGGCAAACAGCCACTCCATACTGCCTAAAAGACAATGTATTAGGCACAGTGGGATTCATTTTATTTCCAAAAAGCTCATGTTGGTGATCAGAAGATATTCAGTCTTTACATTCTCATGGACACAGTCATCTTCACAATCTTCCAATGGCTGGAAACTTGTGTTAAAAAGACATTGAAGTAAGTAAGAGAATGCTTCTATTGGTATGGGTGCCAGGAATATGTAGAGAATTGATGTAAAACATGTAAACTATGCTGTGAGCAAAATGGTCCACAAAAGAAGCAACAGGAGCAGTAACAGTAATATTGTGTTGGAGCACCACTTGAGAGTTGCTTTTGATGTGCTTGATCCTCTGCCACAGAGTAACCATTGGAATAAATACATCATGGTTTTGATGGACTATTTCATGAAAGAGCCAGAAGCATATGTCATTCCTAACCAGAAATTTATCAATCTTTTACAAGATTTGATGTGCCCATGAAACTTCACTCAAATGAGGGATAAAACTTTGAATCAGCCTTGTTTGCAGAAATGTGTCAGATTATTGAGACAAAAAAGACCAGAATAAAAGCCCTTTATCCATTTTCTGACAGTATGATGGGGAGATACAATTGGAAGTTATTAAATTAATTTGCCATTTATGTGTATGAATACTGGAAAATGTGGGATCAAGGTCTCCTACTGTTACTGATGAATTATTACACAGCAGTACATGAAACTACAAGCAATACACCATTTGAGAAAAAACTTAGATTACCATTGAGCCTTCTGTACTCTGGCACAGAAAATATTCACTCAACTAGTCTTAGGCAGAATATGCAGATTAAGGAACACCACCGAGATCATATACGGCTTTATCCTAGAAAGACTTAAATGAGCTAGTGATGAAATTAAAATTTGCTATGATGTTAATGCTGATAAGAATGGATTTCATTAAGGTGACATAGTATGGCTGTACAATGCCCAGAAAAGAAACTCCAAAGTTAATAAGCAGGTGTTGGGAAGGGCCATATGTTGAATCATTGATATGGTTTATAAAATCCAGAGGGTCAGGTGATCCAGACCAAAGGTCATCCACTGTGATAATCTTTAAGAGTATGACAGTGAGAGAACAGCCAAATGGATAACTCCAGAGAAGAATTTATCAGCAGAAAGTCAACTTGCAGCTGAGGAGCACAAGGTTCCTGCCAAGACAAATATAGTTAAGAAGAGAGCCACCAGTGGATTTACACAGCCACCTACCCACAAGAACAATCCAAATGACAGGACAACAAGTGATGACAAGGGACAAGAGGTTATCCCATCTGACTGCCATAACCTCCTGATTGTTAGGATTTCAAAACTGATGAAAGGGGTGGTGTTATAAGCCATATTTTCAATGTTTTAATTTAGTTGTTTGATAGAGGGAGCTACTATCATGATGATACTAAATTTATAAAGTTTATAAAAGTAGTTATAAAATACCTAGAATGTTCATGAATGTTAATGATCAAGGCATTATGAAATATCTGGAAACAAGGATAAATTATAAATACAAGAATCAGTGAAGCATTAAGATAAGTTTCAGTTTGTTCAGTGATTTGGAAAGTTAATGAAATATTCACACATGTTAGTTCTTGTGCATATTCAGCTACTTAATTGATTAGTCATGAAATTGTACAAGTAAATTTATTTTTATGTTAGCCACAGTGTCATCAGCGAGTAAATCTGTTAAAAGTGAAAACTATTTTTGAACTAAAGCGTACAGGTGTGCACATGTGATATGAATCTATAGCAAATGTTAAGGAAGAAATAAACTAATTTGTTATCATTACGTGGACTGAACTTTGAATCATTTTCACCAAATAATTTAAATAACTCACTGATATAACAATACAGATGGGGTTATTATCTAAGCCACATGTATCGTTTTCAGTAATTTAGGATTGAAAGCCAAAAGCATGCATATAATAGTGTCACCATAAAAAAAAGGCAACTAAAAACATTTGAAAATCTACCTGACGAAGAATCACAGTGCTATACGATTGCCTACATGCTGACCCCAGTGGCTTCCTCATCTTCCACTTGATGCTACTGAAATACTCTAGAAAAAAAATATGGTTACCCTTGGTTGTAGAATTTTGTTTATCAATAAAGAGGACTACGTGAGATAAAGAAATGGACAAACTCAAGTTGTTATAAAATTAACAGCAGTTTCAAATGGTCATTTTTACATTAAATTTAAAAACATTATTCCCAAGGTATTATGTAACTTGACACTACACAAAGTACTAGTTTGAGCTAAAGCTTTTGATAATTCAACGAGGTTAAGGCTTATCACATGCATCACATTTAAAAAAAAAAGTCTGTCATTCTCAAATTTCTTTACGACGTGTTTCTTCTACGTTCTTTTAATCAAGGCAAGACTTTTATAAGCACGGGTTAGGTATACAACACCAGCAATTCTAAACATACGATATTATATATCAGAATAGCTAGAAAACAATGATCATGTACAGTCACACACTACTCTATATCAGTTACATCAAATATACATTTTATATATATATATATATTAGCTAAATCAGTTTTCGGGATTGATAGTCCTTAATACTTACTAATTTTAAAAGGTATTGGTAAGTCCAGTCGTGAAGTTTTAATACAGAATACAAGCTAATGCACATGGTAAACTCTACAAGGAGCTGAAACAACGCACAATAGTGTCTTTCGATGCTGTACACGTCTTTTATTCAAAATATTTGTTTACTTGCCAGAAACAAGCAAAAACAAATGCATAAACGCACTCACGCTCAAAGCCAGGTGACTTGACTGCCCTCCCCCACTTGTATATATTTTCTTCATCCCAAGCTTCACAGTTATAACGAGTTTGGCACGATGCCAAGCAATCTTAATAAAGGTGTTATAGAAAAAAGCAAACTGAATTTCGGTGATTTTACCAGGTTCCAGCACCAAAAGAAAATCAAACTATATCGAAGTCTTATTGAATTACTAATTTATACTTACTGAAACTTCTCTGATAATTTTCCTAATCTTACTTCAACCTGTACTACTGAATGAAAACAATTATCTTAGATCTACATAGTTTTATTTCAAAAAAAAAAAACTTTCATGTATTATTGATTCCGCGAATGTGTTACTCGTTCTCACTCAACAAACTTTACTTCTTGCAAGCCTAAAATAAACTTGGAAACATGTAGTAGTAAAAACCGGCGCAATAACGATGTCAGTTACTTTTTAAAAATAAATCAGTTTCTCATAAAATATCCAGATTCAAAACCATTAAATATTTAACAACCGTTCACTTTTCAACAACTAACGGTTCTAGAAACTTAATACAACTATATAGGTGCTTACATTTGTGATGTAAAATTGTGTTTCATTCCCTCAAGAATTATCTTGATAAAAGGTTTCCAGGGTAATATTAATATTTGTAAATAAATGATAGTTTTTTTTCTCTCGATCTCAGACAAGATTGATATTATATGTACTTAGTAACCAACGGAGACAAATACTCTAGTCCCATGCAACTTAAACCGGTTGCTACACATTAACAAGACATGTATCAATACTTTTTTGTATATGGGTGCAAGTGAGAGTGTGTGAATATTCTGAGAACACACACACACGATCGTGGCCGCAGTTACGGAAGGGGATAGCAGTTTCGTGTACGGAACATTCTGGTATGCACGTGTTCAGGTGTGTGACTTAGCGGATAGGTGAAACTAAGTAATACTGAGTAAAATGTCATCATATTTCTACTATATTTTTTACCCCCGTGGATCCTGTTGCATGGAATTATAAGTCTTTCTTACAAACGTTTGACAAAGTCTGTCCACACTAACAGTAAGAGGTCATAACTAGTGAATCAATAAAGGTGAAACATATCGTAATAAAGTTAAAGCATTGTATGAAAGTTCACTGGTCGTTTAGCTAACAAATTAATGATGGTTTTAAACAGATAGTTTTAAAACAATTACAAGTGTAACATGGGCTCATATACTAGAAAATGTTCAGTGTTCCTATTATCCATAACAGTTTTAGCTAACAAATTAATGATGGTTTTAAACAGATAGTTTTAAAACAATTACAAGTGTAACATGGGCTCATATACTAGAAAATGTTCAGTGTTCCTATTATCCATAATTTTCTAAACAATTCATAATAATACTAGTGTTTTGTGTTACTCCAGCAATAACGCTAGCCGACATTTAGTAAACACAAGTTTTGTTTTATTTTAAATTACAGAATAAAATTTAAAGCAGTTTTAATTACACAAGAAAATGCATACATGCATTTATGATAAATAGTTTTCATATATATATAAAACATAAATATTACTCACCACCAAATGTCAGCGGCTAGCTGCGGGTTTACGACGAATTTCACAATGCACAGTAAGCCACCGGCTGCTGAAAAAAAAATCTTAAAGACTCACACTTAGATTATGTGAATAAATCCTGCGTTAGACAGTCTTCGTGGTTTATATTTTACAGACCTGAATTTTATAAGGGCTGTACTGGATTAACATCTGCTAGAATTAGATTCAATGCCTGGCGAATAAACATGGTAACGACCTTTTTATGGTTGCTTCAGAAACCGACAAGACACTAATCTCAATGACAGCATTCGTAGAAAGACGCTTCTCCTATAGGTGAAAGTAGCTCGTTGTAGCCACGTTCGGGAGGATGCTAGTACAGGTGAACGTAGCCCGTCCAAGTAAAATTCAGCATGTAAAACCTCAAAATCAGAAGTCGAATTCTGAAATGTAACAAATTTCGATTATGTCATTACATACACACACACTAAATTTTAGATTATACAGATAACGACAGAAAAATTACCTGACTATTCATCTACCACAGTGTGCGACACAAAGTTCACTACAGAACAAAAAAAAAAACAGCCCAAAACAATTTTAATAGAATACCAAAGAACCGTGAATAGTTTTGTTAGTTTCATTTTCATCAACTTGCCCCATCTCAGACACTTATGTTGTACGTTTTAAAATAATTATTCGTTCATTGTTAATTTTTAGCCTGATTCTGGATCGATTTCAATATTTCAATATATATATATATATATAAATAAATAATTTTGTTTCAATTTTCCTTTCCGTGATTTGACACATTTTAGAACAGATTTCTAATTTGTGAATTTCAAATTTGCTAAAAGATTCAGTTAAAGAAACTTTTATGAGAGAGATGTAGCTGGGGGAAAAAGTTCCATATGGCACCCCCACCCAAAAATTGTAGAATTGCCTGGATAAAAAAAGAT